GACTCCCGACTTTAGACACTGCCGGATATAGTGTTCTGATGGGAACCAAACTATCAGTCACGGGAGGTGGGGTGTGCAAAGGAGTTGTTGTCTCTGTGGCCGAAATTGATATTGTTAACGATTTCCTTCCTCTCCAGTTAGGATGTACTGGTGTAATCTTGGGCATGAAATGATTGGAGAGTTTAGGAAAAATGCAAGTGAATTGGGGAAATTTAACGATGCAATTTAAGTTGGGGGGAAAATCGTCTTGTTGCAAGGTGATTCTAGCCTCATTAAGACGCAGGCATCCTTGAAAACTATGGTGAAGGCGTTCGAGGATGGAGGACAGGGAGTATTGTTGGAACTAGGCAGTATGGGGGTGGAGAGCGAAGAAGGAGGTTCCGCGGTCCCAATTGAAATCACTGAAGTACTGAGACAATATCAAGACGTTTGCCAATGGTCGGACGAGCTTCCTCCGTTTCGGGTTAGGGACCATGCCATTAATTTACCGCTACCCTCACTTCCAGAAAAACGAAATTGAGCGGCTAGTGCAGGAGATGTTAGCTGCAGGGATCATACAGCCTAGTCTCAGTCCATTCTCTAGTCTGATATTGTTGGCGAAGAAGAAAGATGGCAGTTGGCGATTTTGTGTTGATTACCATGCTCTCAACAAAATCACTATACCGGACCGGTTTCCAATCTCGGTGATCGATGAAATTTTGGATGAATTACATGGGGCACAAATTTTTTTGAAGCTGGATTTAAAGTCAGGGTACCATCAGATAAGGGTGAGGCCTCAGGATATTCCTAAGACGGCTTTTCGAACACATGAAGGTCACTATGAGTTCATAGTCATACCCTTCGGGTTGACAAATGCACTGGCCACTTTTTAGAGCCTAATGAATGAAGTGTTCTGGCCCTATTTGCGGAAATTCGTGCTTGTTTTCTTCGACGATATTTTGGTTTATAGCAGCTCTGTGGAAGAACACCGAGGTCATTTGGAAATAGTGCTTAGATGCTTACGAGAGCACAAACTATATGTCAACAGGAAGAAATGTCTATTTGGGTAGCATAAACTCGAGTATTTGGGTCACATAGTGTCTGGCGAAGGGGTAGCAGTGGATCAAGCCAAAATTGAGGCAACGCTAAAGTGGCTCACACCCCACACCCTTAAGGAGTTACGAGGCTTTTTGGGGCTCACTGGTTACTACAGCCGTTTTATGGCAGGCTACGCTAGACTAGCATCTCCATTGACTGACTTACTGAAGAAGGATGGGTTCAGTTGGAATGAGCAGGCAGAGGATGCTTTCACCAGATTAAAGAAGGTCATGACAGAAGTTCCAGTTCTAGCTTTGCCAGATTTTTCTCAAGAATTTGTGGTAGACTGATGCTTTTGGACATGGACTAGGAGCAGTTTTGATGCAAAATCAACATCCGATTGCCTATTTCAGTCAGGTGTTGCCACGTACCGCTCGAAATAAATCCGTCTATGAACGAGAGTTGATGGCTATTGTGTTTGCCATTCAAAAATGGCAACATTATTTGATGGGACGACACTTTGTGGTAAGGACTGATCAAAGAAGCTTGAAGTTCCTGCTGAACAACGCATAGTTAGCGAGGATCGCCAGAAGTGGGTGACCAAACTTTTGGGGTACGATTTTGATATTCAGTATCGACCGGGTCGAGAAAATGGGATAGCAGATGCTCTCACAAGAGTTGAGCCAGCTCTGAGTTTTCTATCTATCTCTATTCCATGGGTGTTACACCTTGAAGATGTCAAGAAGGAGGTGGAGGCAGATGCTGAATTAAGGGAGATTGTAGCTTGTTTACAATCTGGTCAGGTGGTCAGGATCGGTTACACGTTGACTGAAGGAATTCTGCGTTACAAAGGCCGAGTAGTCCTGTCCAAAAATTCACAGTGGGTAGCAGTAATGTTAGCAGAATGCCATGACACTAGAGTTGGGGGACATTCTGGATTCCTTAAAACTTACAAACGGATTGCTAGCGAGGTGTGTTGGAGGGGAATGAAAAAAGACGTTCGGGATTATGTGGCACGCTGTGCCATATGCCAGCAAAACAAGTATGAGGCACTATTCCCTAAAGGGCTATTGCAGCCACTCTCGATACCGGACTTGGTGTGGGCAGATATTTCTTTAGACTTCATAGAGGGGTTGCCGAAATCAGGGGGGATGGACACCATACTGGTGGTTGTGGATTGATTAAGCAAATATGGGCACTTTATTGGGCTAAAACATCCCTTCACAGCACAAGTGGTGGCGGATATCTTCATTAGAGAGATTGTGCGTCTGCACGGGATACCCCAGTCCATTGTGTCCGACCATGACCGGGTTTTCATGAGTAAATTCTGGGCAGCTCTTTTCAAGGCACAGGGCACCACACTTAAGCATAGCACGACATATCATCCACAAATGGATGGTCAAACAAAGGTTGTTAATCGTTGTTTGGAGACGTACTTGAGGTGTTTCTCATCTGCCCGACCCTGTTTTTGTAGTCAGTGGTTACCTTGGGCAGAGTATTGGTATAACACTTCTTTTCATACCGCAATCAAACACACCCCTTTCCAGATCATCTATGGTCGTGCCCCTCCTCCAGTATTACCTTTTGAGAAAGGGACAACAGTCTTGTCAGCAGTAGAGCAACTATTATTGGATCGAGATGAGGTGTTACATGAACTGAAGCTACAGCTCAGCTGTGCTCAGCAATTAATGAAACAGGAGGCAGACGGGCACCGTCGGGACATTCAGTTTGATGTGGGAGATTTGGCATATCTCAAGCTTCGTCCCTACCGGCAGAAATCTGTAGCACTGCGTCCAGTTGCTAAGCTGTCCCCAAGGTATTTTGGTCCGTTTGAAATAGAGGTTCGGGTTGGGCAAGTTGCATATAGACTGAAACTTCCAGCAGGGGCTACGGTACACCCCGTGTTCCATGTATCACAACTCCGTAAAGCTGTTGGTGTTGTTCACACTACTTCCCAACTTCCGACACAACTCACAGCAGATGGACAGATTATTGTAGAACCTGAGGCAGTATTACAGGTCAGACCAGGGTCTTCTAATGCAGGGCCAGAGGTTATGATCAAGTGGAAGGATTATCCAGCATTTGAGGGTACTTGGGAACCCTTCGAACTGATACGGAAACAATTTCCAGACTTCCACGTTGAGGACAAAGTGGATTTCGGGGGGGCGAGTAATGATAGACCCCCGATTAAATTCACCTATGTGAGAAGGGAGAAAGAGGCAGAGCATAGCAACTAATTCAGCTTCAGTCAGTTAGTTATAGTAGGGGTATTTTGGGAAGAGTCTTTTGTAAGGGGTGGGAAATAAATGTAATGGGGGGAAAGTTGGGGAGGCATTCACGTGTTTTGTTGAGTCATTGGGAGAGTCCAGGCCTCTCAAAAGCCTTGGAGACGTTCCAAATTTCATTCATAGCTTTCAATAAATCAAAATACATTTCTATTTCAATCGCATTCAGATTACAGGCTTGAGAATACATTTCTGTTCTGTTTCCTATTGCTGAAGGTGGATAATAATCACTTCTATTGGTGTGATCAGGTTGAGTACGAGTTCGGGATCAACTTAGCAGCTATTGGAATCTGCTGATCAGTCCAGGTACCTATCCCATTTCCTCACTTTCATTAATAACGTTTAGTCTCGTTTTAAGTATTCAAATTCCATTTTGAAATTTTTTTGGTTGAGTTTTTCCATTTTCGGGGATATACAACATTTCGTGGTATATCTCCAGTGAAAGAACAAAATATATTGAACTGATATTGCTTGCAAAAATTATTCTTTAGCTACACAGGTTGAGATTCGTACGGGAAAATATTTGAACAAAAACTTCGCTTGACCTGGTGGTGAACACATGGATTTCTTTTTAGAACTATTAATCTCACTATATATGAAGTCTTCCCACCGAACTTGCTATTGGTGTAAGCATCATTTTTTTTATATTCCTAGGCTGAAAATGTGTAGCTAAAGAATTATCGGTTGTTTGCATATTAAAAAGATTTTGTATGTTGGGCTTGGGTTATCCAAAGAGATTTTAATGTTCAGCATACAATATACCGTTTATCTTAGATTTGGTAAACCTAATTTTTTACTATTACATGTAATGCAAAAGCATTTGCGGTTTGTGAAATTTCTCTCCTCTTGAAGGTTTTAATGAGAAAGATGCGCATCGACTCTTTGAAAAGATTGGAAGTCCATCTGGTGCAGATGATCTAGGTAAAATTCAATACTAACACTTGTTTTGTCTCAAAGAAAAGAACAGTTTCCGTTTCCTTTTGGATCATTAATTATTATTCATTAATAATCCTGACTAAAGAAAAAAGAAGGATCACTCATGCTAAATGTATGTCTGTTTCTTCTCTTGATATGTTCACATACCGGTGTGTATATTGTTTTTTCCTTATATTTAATGAATGGGTTAGGGGGAGTTTTAAGTATCCGAGTGTGATCGTGTTCCTTTTTATTCTGAAGGAAAGGTTTCATTTTGTGAGATGGATTTGCATCCCTTCACATCAATGCTTTCATCTGGCAGAAAGAAATTCTCAGAAATTGTAACAGAATTATAACCCCAACTTCAGTTAAAAAATAATCACTAAGTCTACCTGTGGTTGGTCTCTTCTTTTTGAGTTCTGGTTCTGAGAGACTATACAATGTCAATTTGTTCATTTTTGGTTCACTAAAGGCTTATTCATTGACAGATTGCAATAGTGGGTGGTTAGTTGGTCCTAACAACGTGCATGTTCCATTTTTGGCCTGCGGGGACCTCAGTGGGTATGACTCTGATCGTTCATATCCACTTCCAAAAGTTGCAGATGGATCTTGCCAGAGCTTAGATCCTGTGCAACCTCCTATTGCACCACCTTACAAGTGAGCTCTGGAAATGAAGAAAGCTTCAAGTCATGGAGTCCAAGGCCTAGAAAAATTCTCCCTTGTTCTGAGTATGGTGGTTCACTGGATAAATTTGAAGATCTACTTGAAGTCATAGTTATATTATCAAATAATGAGTTTTGGATGGATAATAACTTCCATGAAAGTTGCTTGTTTCGTTGCACTAGATTGCCGGGGTTCTTGTTGGCTATATCCTTGCAAATGAAATGAAAAAACTAAAACATCTAAATGTTAGAACTTAATATTAGACACGGGGCATTATTTTTTATATATGAAATCTCTTTTCATTCATTTATGTGGTTAGCATACATGGTGGCAACTGAATGATTTGGCCTTTCAAATGATAATGAAATCTCTCGTTCATTACATTGAAATGCTTTGCCGGGCTACAAGGCAAGTTCTTAAACTATTGAGTGACAGACGATTTCTTTACTGCTGTTTTCAATGAATTCTTATATAGATGATTTCTTGCTATAACCTACACAGCAGATTCATTTCTATTTCATTTACATCCTTTTTCATCATCCATCCTCCAAGCAAAATACTTTTAGCAAGAACTTGTGACAGAATTTGATCTTAGCAAAGATGACGAAGAATTCAAGAACTCGATGCAGTCCTCTATAGCCTCAGCTCTCTGAGAATCAAGTGTTTCAGCATATGAACGTGACCTTGCTAAAGAAGCATACGAAACTTTACGCGAACACCTCTTTCTACTAGATATACAACGAAATGCTCTGGCGGCCTTTGCGCCGGTACTCCTGAAGAATCCGGACAGTGAAAATCCGGACTTCCTGGTATGTCCGCAACTCCATATTTCATTTATTTCCTTCTTGTTTCCATCAGCACACTTTTGGTAAATGATTGGCATGTCGTTGACATCATAACTGAAACTCACTCTTCTACTCATTTTCCTTCACATCACCCTTCCAGAAATGAGAAGGGAGATAGATAGATGTGCTGTGTCTGTAGTTTTGGGGAGTATCTATGGAGAACTGATGAGAGGGAAAGAGTAGAATGTAAAATAGAGTGGGAAAAGACAGAGGAGGTTTAATAATCTTAATTATTGGTAATGTGTTCATAAAGTTTTCCTGCTCTAGGCCTGCTCAATACGCTTTAAGAAATTTGGTAGGACAAGTAGGAATTCTATGGCTTGCAGCAGAGGTAAACAAAACTAAGGATATCAGGTCCAAAGGTAAGAGAAGAGTGGGGTGGGGTGGCGTGGCGTGGGGACTGATCATGAATACAATGGACTGGTATAATTTCAAGGGACAAAAGGGTGGAAGACTGAGGTAAGGGAAAACAAAGAAAAACCAACTGATACTCCCTTTGGCAGCTTTTCTTTTCCCATGTCTTTCTTTTTCTTGGCCACCTCGATTCTAATCCAGACGTCTCGAACCTTAATAAAAAGAGGGTTGAGGTAGGTTGACAATCAACCTAACTTGGCACACCGTGTGATGGTGAATCCTATGACATGAATATTTGATGAGCATGTAGAGATTGCCCATTAGGCAATCATTTTGCGCCTATCTATGTTTGCATTAGAAAAAAAAAATTCCATTTTGAATTATTGTTTGGGAATTGGGATGAGATGAATATCAAGGAAAATCCCATCTTTACCTTTATTTACATTCTTTTACAGAGGGAAACAAACTTCTGTGCTGAAAATGATGTCTGGTCGGAATTGGAAATCTCTCTCTCTCTCTCTCTCTCTCTCTCTCTCTCTCTCTCACACACACACACACACACACACACACACAAACACACAATCTACTGTACCTGACTACGTGGAATAAGATATAAATATAGCTATCCTCATGGAGTAACCATTTGGAAAAGTTTGACTTCTCATCTATCTGTATCAACTTACAATTGAAGGGCACAGCTAAAGGCAAGCACGAATGAGTGACTGTTATTACAAATGGGGGCCATCGTCGGTATTCAATAACCAGTCCATGTAGTAGTTGGAAATTGGTTTAGAAAAGGTTTGTTTTTTAACCAATTATTAAAGCGGGTTTATTATTCGAATATGGAAGTTTGAAAAAACTTTACTTTGGGATTAGATTATTATAGTATTTTTATTTGGTCGAAATCAATTTTCGGAGAATGGGAAGTTAGGGCTGAAATTGGGCCGATTGGAGTTGGGATAGGTTGGAAAATTGGAATCAGAAAATTGTGAGAAAATTAGGAGATGACCATCCCACGTTAGATGATGAAAAGCCACTTAAAACACTTGTAGCCCATGTTTGGGTCATATCTTTCCAACACAATTTTCATTCAAAATTTTATTTAAATGGAGCCTAAATAGCGCTTAACATAGTCCAAGTTGAAGACTTGGGTTTGGGACTCAAGATATACATATGATTTGTTTGAGTTTCATCCTTTTTAAAGTTTTTCTTCAAATTTCTTTTTAATCACACATTCTTTCGATAAAAAAATTATCAATAAATAACAAAAATTGTCGACTTTTAACTATATATGATATAAGAAATTACTGTTACAATTTATTTTATTTTTTTTTTGGGAAAATTATCTCAAACAAACTAAGGGTGTATTTGATTACATTTATTTTCCATGGAAAATATCAGTTTTTCACCAAAATTCCTACTTTGAGTGTTTGATTGCTATTTTTTTCCATTGAAAATATTTTCCTTAGGTGGAGGTGGTTTTTATTTTCCTCAAAACAAGGAAAACATTTTCTTTTCTAGATTATATTTTCTATGTTAATCAAATATACTCTAATAGTTTTTGAAATGAAGATAATTTACAAAGTCTTGATATCTTTCTATAGAAATTAGTTTCTTTCGAATTATTGATATGTGACTCATAATCACCTAATCTAGACAATACACGTGGATAGTCTTCCAAAAATAAAGTGAAATGCATGCACTAATATAAACATGAACGGATTTGATCTCCTTCACCATCATCAAGGCAGAGTCAAGAATTACTGCTAACGGGCGCAAAAAATTTTAAAATTTTAATGTACGAATAAAATTTATATATAATGAGAAAAATTCATAATATAAGTTACATATTGGAGTTGTATTTGACGATGTTTTACAGCATACAATTTATTTATAATAGAATCTTGATTTAAATTCATACTAAATTCTCATTCAATGTTTAATGTTAAACAATCAGCAAGAAAATCATCATCCATTTTATTACGAATTTTCGTCTTCACATGTTTCATTGCTGAAAATGCTTGCTCCACAGTAGCCGTTGAAACAGATAGTGTTAATACTAAACAAATCAATTTAGTCAAAATGACGTAACTCTCTGACATTCTGCTTGCAACCAATTCCTGACATAAATCAGAAAGTGTAGGTACTTGAAATCGATCACATCATTCTGATAATGTTGCAACTCAACTTTCAAACAATAAATATCTTGTTGTGTAAAATCTTCAAGATAAAACTTCTCTGCAAGTTTGCAAATATTATCTATATTAAATAATTCAAAAGAATTTTTCGGAGCCAAAGTCGTACTAAGAGAAAAGAGTTCAATGATGTCTCATTAAATCTTGTATCTAACTCCATTATCTGAAAGTCAATGGCTGCATTGAAAATATCAAAGTGTTAATGATGTTCAATGGTAGGATACTCACAACCGCGAGAACAACCAACCATATACGAACCATCAAAGTGAGGTACACACACACACACACACACACACACACACACACATATATATATATATATATATATCTTTTTTTGAACAAAAACATTTCACCTCTTCAAAAAATTCTTCCCAACCATCTTCTTTCAATGCTTGAATGATAGTTTTTGTAGTACGGACAAATCTCATAGCAGTTAAAATGTCTTGAGTTTTCTTTTGAAGAGCCTGACAAAGCACATCCGCAATTGCTAATATTCTACACATTAAATGCAAGATAAATACAAATTCAAATGTTGTCATGATTTTGTATACACCACCAACTTCGAACCGAGATCTTGTACTTGGAGAATGATCACTAAGATACTCAAGCACCTTACAAATTACAGCATACGTATCAATCAAACTCTTTACAGAGCTGTAATGTAAAGACCAATGAGTACTTCCGGCTCATTGCAAAAAAATCAAAATGCTTCAATATCCCATAAAGGCATAAATATAAATTGATAAAGCCATAATCATAAAACCAATTTATTGTTTGCTATGAAATGAGATTTTTTATCCAAAGTCAATGAACCAATCTTGATCATTCTCAACTAGTTCAGCAACCTTTGGACCCTCTTCTTAGCAAATAGCACAGTACTTCAAAGAATCAAAATGCTTCACCTACAATTAAACAAAACAAAAAAAAATCCCAAAAAACTAAGAATTACTAATGCTTCATAAGTAAATATTCATATTAACAATTGGCTTTGGCTACAAGGTTTTCGTTTTGCCTTTGGCTAAGATTAGGAAGCATGACAGCAGGTTCAATTTCACAACTGGAAGGAAGAGTAAATATTAGAAATGACAAGGATTTCCTACTACCCAACAATCAAAGAACTTAAAATGTAAAAACTCTTAAACACACCCTTACCAACTGCAAACTAAATGCTATATAGTATATGCTATAAGATAAGAGAGAATTGATTCAATAGAAACAATTAAAAAGGGAGCAACAAATGCTTTCTAATTGAATTCTTAAACAGTCAAACTAGAAACTAGAAAGCTACAAATTCCATTATTCCAAGATTTCAAACAAAACCAAGTATAATTAATTATTCCAAGATCTCGAACAAATTCTATTATTCTGCATTTTTCCTTCTTAATTCTTATTATCTTATTTAGTTATTCTTATACCTAGTATTTATCATATGCAACAAACCAAGTATAATTAATTGAAAAGATAACGAAAGATTTTCATGTTCTAAGAATCTAATTAATAAATTACTTACCCTAAAATCTAACTCAAGTCAACAGCCAGGCGTGAGGCGGCGAATCAATGAGACGCTGGGTCGCGGACTCACCATTAATCATAGCAGTCAGCAGGGCGCAAGCGGCAGGTAATGAGTTGGCACTCTGCGGCTACGAGCAGGGGCAAGGTGAAAAGATTTAGGGATTTTGATTTTTGGGAGTTATTTGAATTGGTTTTGCAAAGGAACAAGAATGGAAAAGGGGATTATATGTGAATAAGAAAATGGGTAATGAGTATTATTGGGCCAAATATTATATAGATTAGTGGGCTAAAGATTAAACAAAAAAATTATTTGTTGGTGGGCTAATGTGGCTAATTGATTACAATTCCAAAAATAATAATAATAAAGTAAAATAAAAAATTGTCGCATCTGGGCCTAGACGCAGTGGGCTGCAGCCAAGTACAACCCATCACTGAATCTGCCCCATGACCATCGCATGATGCATAGCATAAATTAAGCACGATGCTTAGGAGGTCATGACTCTAAACATAAGTCTTCACCTGCGAACATGTTTGTTACAAAAATGTTACTTTTCCAATGCAATTCAGACCAACTAGGCCCGATCAATTCAATCGGGATCAGGTCCAAAATCAGGCTGCATGAGAAATTTATATTTTTAAAAATTGTCCAATTGACCTCTTTGGCTCTATGAAAATCATTGACCCATTGTAGATCTTATTTTTTCATAAATTTATTTAATTTTAATTATTTTTTAAAGTCATCGGATGGATCATGATTCAACCCCTAACCCTTTCCTTTTTTGGATCGATGCCCAAATCGATTTTCTAAACATTTGTCTTTTCAAATAGAGATGAGTTTCATGTGTTCTTGACTCTTCAAACTTATCATTGTTAGACGAGCGAGTCTCTTCGGACATAGACATCTTAAAAAGAGAAAATTGCATCCAATGTCAAAATCCACTAATACATGTATTAAAATATCACTTTTCAATAATTTTCCCATTTTTGTCACTTTTGAACATTTTTACCCTTTCGAA